TAAATTCCGTGTATCAATAGAAAAAATCTCTGCCTCTGCCAGCCGCAGTAAATGTAGTCTCCAAATAATAAATAAGAGGTGCATTCATCTGTGTATCTCCTTTGATCCGCATTAGTGATATTCTCAGCACCAGAACAGTGAAGCAAAGAAACAGATTCCTGAGTTTGTTATAATTTTATTTATTAGGTGCATCTAACCTGTTCTATTTTTCTCTGAAATGAGATCAAATCAGTGCTTCTATGGGTTGTCTCCACTCTCCACTAGAAAATTTTACTTTATTTAGAGACGTGCGGAGAAAAAAAACCTACAAGATGCAGAAAAAAGGAGAAACCTCCAACATTCATATTGTCAGCAATAAACGCAGCAAAACTTAACTTTCATGACCAAAAAAAAAACCCCATAAAAATTATTCAGTACATCAGGAGAGCAGGAACAAGTCTTATTTCTGATTTTACATTTTTTACTTCAATTCAAACTATTTAGACTTTTGTGTTTTCATCACATTTAGCTTGTATTTTATTTAACATATTGTTGGGTATTTTTATAATTGTACCTTTTTGAGGCCTAAACAGGGGTGGACCTTTAAAGCGCCCGAGCGCCAATGGCGCTAAATTTTCTCGTCGGGCGGTAAATACTTGACGACTTACCGCCCGGGTGGCGCCCAAGCTTTATTTATCATTTACACACCGGCTTTCACCTACATCATGGCCCCGCCCTGTAGAAAGCTGCCGTTTTCGTTTCGCTCGCGTGAACCTGCGCGCCTCTAGCCACGTACTGCACTTGTACGATTCGTGCACGTACTGCACGATTCTAGTTATTGTCACGTGAACTATAAGTTCACTATTAAAGACGAAGTGGAACCACGCTAGAAACACACAAGCACGCAGGAAGATCGCGCCACCACAGGGATGGGATTTCTTGATGAAATCTCCGGCAAAATGCTTTAAAACTGGTGAGAAGCGAGACAGTTCGAAACGGTATGAAGCAGAGAAGCGTGTGCGTAGGTGGAATGATTCTTGGCGGTTTAAAGAAGACGGGAGGCGCGGAGAATGGCCGTGTTCGAGTTGAGCAGCGCCTCGCCTGGAAAACAGACGAGAGCAGACGGAAGCAGCAGGGGGAGTGGCTGAAAGCCTGCGTTTCGCCGGGGACACACCGGCCGCGGAAGCGCCCGAAGCGAATCGCTCACGAAGTCCGGCCGCTGCTCGCCGCTCCTCAGTTCAGACGCGCCCCAGTCGAGGCGCGCCTCGGCTCAGCTGTAGTTTTTCTTTTAATTAGTTGGTGTCCTCCATTTCCTCAGCTCTTTTCCTCTACGTGTGTGTGTGTGTGAGAGAGAGAGAGAGAGAGAGAGAGAGAGAGAGAGAGAGAGAGAGAGAGAGAGAGAGAGAGAGAGAATGGTGTGAACCAGTTGTTTCTGCCAGTTAAATCTCTTGGATTTCCCTGCATGATGGATGAAGATATCGCGTTAGCATTCACACTTGTTCAATTTTAATTCTGGTGCCTGTTAGCAGCTAAAACACATCCTCACGTGCTTGTGGATATCATATATTCTATATGGAGACATGACTGTAATAATAAGTAAAGGTTATCAGCTGTAGCTTCAGTGGTGCTCATAGGAAACGTGACAAAAGAAAACATAACACATTTCTCTTCATGGCCTATATAGTTGTCATCAACGTAACATGATTTACAGAATACATGTGACCAACTAACATTTCATGTTCTACCACCGGATGTTTGGATCAAAATATGAACCAATCAGATCTTAGATCAGGTGAGAGCCAGGCGTTTCCCATCATCCTCTAGGTTTTGCAGCTGAGGGAGAGCAACTGCAGCGCCTTGCTCAAAAATCTGCGGCCGCCTTGATCTCACGAGGTTATCGTTGCCTACGTATGCATGACGTCAGAGCAAGTCGGCATCAAGTCGGACACAAATCTAACCGGCATGCACTGCTCGCCGATCACCGCTGGTCTAATCTGCGCAGAACTGGCTCATCTCGAACGCGGCCAATGGCTCGAGTACAGCAAAGCGGAGTTGGTGATGTACTGCGTTGTATGCCGGAAGTATGCGACGACAAAATCGTGTTTTATTGAGGGAACAAACAAATTCAAACTTGAATCCGTTATTATGTTTGTGAATGTGTACAAAATAAAGGTTTATTACATTTAAAACAGTTCAGTTGTTATTTTGACTCGTTTTGGCTGCTGACCAGCGGGGCCGGTAGATTCTTGGTGGGGCCGGTAAATATTCAGACTTACCGGCCCGGCTGGACGGTTGGTTTTGAAGTTAATGTCCACCCCTGCCTAAAAGATGCCCATTTTGTGTTATTAACACTTCATGAATCTCTTGTGTTTGCCAACTGTGGCTGTTTATGAAAGGTTGAGCAGAGAAGCTTGTTTGCAGTCAAGGATGTTGATTTCCAGGATGTTGATTGTAGAGTTCCAAGGAAACCTCTGTACCTCTGTAACCTGAGAAGGCCCGCCTTCTCCTCCATCCTTTGTGAATAAAGCCCCTGGGAAACTGAGGAGATTTGGGAGTGACGGGGGAAAAGCCTCGGAGGAGGTTTTTCCCCGCGTTACCTCTCCATTATTTTGGGGACTCAGGGTAAAATGTCTTCCTTGTTGTCATGTGTGTTGATTTTAGGTTTCAGGGTTATGGAGATTAAATATCACTTAACATTTAATTACCTAACATTTGGTGGAGATGCCGGGGCATGCAGAGCTGGTGACCTGAAGGCTTTCCCCAGGAACAGAGGGGGGCTGGTTAGCACCATGGAGGGGTTTCTGCGCCCAGCTCTCGCATGACGATTCATGGACATTACAAATAATCTCTCTCTCTCTGTGTGTGTCGTCATTTAAGGTAATATGGGATAAATCTAAAATTACCTATCACATATCATCAGCTTTACAGGTTAGCTGTTCCTGTGCGCTTAAAAAGTTATGTTACCAACCTTCTAAAAAAATGATCAAATCATTCACATGAAGTAGATTTGTTATTCATTATCTGAAAGTATCCGATTAGTTTAAAAAACTAAATATGTTTTGTTTAATTTGGTTTTCAGAATGTCACTAGTTTACTTATATTTTTAAAATATACAGGTGCTGGCCAGTAAATTAGAATATCATCAAAAGGTTGAAAATATTTCAGTAATTCCATTCAAAACGTGAAACTTGTACATTATATTCATGCAATGCACACAGACCAATGTATTTCCGATGTTTATTACGTTTAATTTTGATATTTATAGGTGACAACCAATGAAAACATCAAATCTGGTATCTCAGAAAATTAGAATATTCTAAAGGCCAATGAAAAAATGTTTGTTTCTCTAATGTTGGCCAACTGAAAAGAATGAACACGAAAAGAATGTGCATGTATAGCACTCAATACTTAGTCGGGGCTCCTTTTGCCTCAATAACTGCAGTAATGCGGCGTGGCATGGACTCGATCAGTCTGTGGCACTGCTCAGGTGTTATGAGAGCCCAGGTTGCTCTGATAGTCGTCTTCAGCTCCTCTGCATTGTTGGGTCTAGCGTATTGCATCCTCCGCTTCACAATACCCCATAGATTTTCTATGGGGTTAAGGTCAGGCGAGTTTGCTGGCCAATCAAGGACAGGGATACCATGGTCCTTGAACCAGGTGCTGGTGGTTTTGGCACTGTGTGCAGGTGCCAAGTCCTGTTGAAAGGTGAAGTCTGCATCCCCATAAAGTTGGTCAGCAGCAGGAAGCATGAAGTGCTCTAAAACCTCCTGGTAGACGGCTGCATTGACCCTGGACCTCAGGAAACAGAGTGGGCCAACACCGGCAGATGACATGGCACCCCACACCATCACTGACGGTGGAAACTTTACACTGGACCTCATGCAACATGGATTCTGTGCTTCTCCGCTCTTCCTCCAGACTCTGGGTCCTTGATTTCCAAAGGAAATGCAGAACTTGCTTTCATCAGAAAACATAACTTTGGACCACTCAGCATCAGTCCAGTCCTTTTTGTCCTTGGCCCAGGCGAGACGCTTCTTGCGCTGTTTCTTGTTCAAGAGTGGCTTGACACACGGAATGCGACACCTGAATCCCATGTCTTTCATGAGTCTCCTCGTGGTGGTTCTTGAAGCGCTGACTCCAGCTGCAGTCCACTCTTTGTGGATCTCCCCCACATTTTTGAATGGGTTTGTCGTCACAATTCTCTGCAGGGTGCGGTTATCCCTAGAGCTTGTACACTTTTTTCTACCACATTTTTTCCGTCCCTTCGCCTGTCTGTTAATGTGCTTGGACACAGAGCTCTGCGAACAGCCAGCTTCTTTAGCAATCACCTTTTGTGTCTTGCCCTCCTTGTGCAAGGTGTCAATGATTGTCTTTTGGACAGCTGTTAAGTCAGAAGTCTTCCCCATGATTGTGGTGCCTTCAAAACAAGACTGAGGGACCTTTTAAAGGCCTTTGCAGGTGTTTTGAGTAAATCAGCTGATTAGAGTGGCAGCAGGTGTCTTCTATATTCAGCCTTTTCAGAATATTCTAATTTTTTGAGATACCAAATTTGGAGTTTTCATTAGTTGTCACTTATGAATATCAAATTTAAATGTAATGAACATTGGAAATACATTGGTCTGTGTGCATTGCATGAATATAATGTACAAGTTTCACGTTTTGAATGGAATTACTGAAATATTTTCAACCTTTTGATGATATTCTAATTTACTGGCCAGCACCTGTATATACTGATGTACTGAAATACAGAGAAATCAACTTGCGAGTACAATGCATGCTAATATAGTAAGCATAGCATGTTTAACATAAGCACATTCACACATGGAAAGTATCAATGTAAATAAATCATATGACAGTAACTCTGCTGTACTTTCATTGTGTAAAAGTAGCTCACGGGCCAAAAAAGGTTGGAGACCCCTGCAATAGATCATTCAGCCATAGTGGATGCTTAGATGATTGTTTAAAGTTTTCTTTCAGCGAAATCTTCGTCCACAGAGCTCACAAGCAAAAGGCTTCTGTCCTTTATGGACTCTTCTGTGACCGTTTAAACTGATCTTTTGGGTGAATCTTTTCCACCGAACTCACAGGCAAAAAGCCAGTGTGAACTCTCATGTGTCTGTTTAAATTTCCCTTTTCACTAAATCTATTACCACAGAGCTCACAGGGGTAAGGCTTCTCTCCAGTGTGGACTCTCATGTGTGTGTTTAAATAGGACTTTCGGCTAAATCTTTTTACACAGAGCTCACAAGCAAAAGGCTTCTGTCCAGTGTGGACTCTCATGTGACTGTTTAAAGTTGTCTTTAAGCTAAATTTCTTTCCACAAAGCTCACAAGGAAAGGGCTTCTCTCCTGTGTGGACTTTCATGTGACTGTTTAAAGTTGTCTTTTGGCTAAATCTCGTTCCACAGAGCTCACAAGAAAAGGGCTTCTCTCTAGTGTGGACTCTCATGTGACTGTTTAAAGTTGTCTTTTGGCTAAATCTTTTTACACAGAGCTCACAAGCAAAAGGCTTCTGTCCAGTGTGGACTCTCATATGTTTGTTTAAATGCGTCTTTTGGCTAAATCTCGTTCCACAGAGCTCACAAGGAAAGGGCTTATCTCCTGTGTGGACTCTCATGTGTTTGTTTAAAGTTGTCTTTTGGCTAAATCTTTTTACACAGAGCTCACAAGGAAAGGGCTTATCTCCAGTGTGGACTCTCATGTGTGTGTTTAAACTTCCCTTTTCACTAAATATATTACCACAGAGCTCACAGGCGAAAGGCTTCTCTCCAGTGTGGACTCTCATGTGTTTGTTTAAATTTCCCTTTTCACTAAATCTATTACCACAGAGCTCACAGGCGAAAGGCTTCTCTCCAGTGTGGACGCTCATGTGTCGGTTTAAATTTGACTTTAAGCTAAATTTCTTTCCACAGAGCTCACAAGGAAAGGGCTTATCTCCTGTGTGGACGCTCATGTGTCTGGTTAAATTAGTCTTTTGGTGAAACCTTTGTCCACAGTGCTCACAGGCAAAATGTTTCTGCTTTGTCTGGACTCTCGTGTGTTTGTTTAAATGTGTTTTTTGGCTAAAGGATTGAAACCTGGCAGCATCAGTCTCCATATTCAAATGGAGATGCTCTCCCTCCATACTAGACAAGAGTCTCTCCTGTTCCTCCTTTTTGTGGAGAAAATCTAGGTGCTGGTGGTTGACACGAGCACTCTGTTCTTCTGAAGCTTCTTATTTAACCAGAACCATCTGTTGAAAATCTGTAGGAAACACAGAAACATATTATGTGAATGACAGACAGCTGTAACTGTGTTTTCACACATATAACAGTTGTATTATTTCTTTAAACTGACAGTAGAATGAAAAGTATTTACAACTGGAAACTGAACTTTGAGCCTCTATAAATCATATGAGCCTTAAACCTCAGGCTTCACTTTAATTTTCATACAAGAGTCATTAGAGGACAAAAACGTCCACTTGTAAAAGTGGCTATAAAAAATGTATACATTGTTTTTTTTTACTTTTTTTTCATAGATCTGTTGAACAACTTCAGCCCTGCTCAAACATAAAAAAATTCAATCATTTTGAAGCTTTTAACCCCTGAAATGCCCGTTTGAATACTCAAAGGTCATTGATGTAATTTATGAAAAAAAGAAAAGAAAAAAAAAACAGCACCGAGTTCTTTTCTAAAAAAACAGGTAACGAAACCGTTCCTGTGTTTTAAAAAGAACGACAGCATGGAATCAGCCTTGGATATGTCAAGAGTCTAGCAAAATATCACATTTTATGCTTTTTTAGTTTTTGTGTAGCAGCAGATTTAAAATTTACCACCCTCTTGTGCCTGTTATGGACAAAAACGTCCCATTGACTTCAATGCAAACCACAGTTTTTGATCCTGCATTATCTGCAGCAAATATTCATGCTTTCTGTGATGTAATGATTTCATTTTGGACAAAAGTAGTCAAATTTATGATTTTTACTGTTCACCACCAAATTCAGTCATTTCTTCATATGTTGCCCAGGCGAGAAAGTTTACACATTTCTATAGATCTTCTGCTGTTTTTATTGAAGTCAGAAGCTCAGCATGTAAACAAAACACGGTTTCACTCTCCTACTGAACATCAAAGGGTAGAAAACAAAAACAATATGTTTATGCACCTGGCTGGAGCTCAGGCACATCCAAACTCTTTGTAGTTCAGTTTGTTATGAAAGGGCAGAAGTGTGAATGCATGCATGTGAAGTGACTCCTTGGAGCTCTTCGGTCATCTCCAAAATGACACGTTTTCCCTGGCCGCCCTGGCCGACCTCTGCAGCCTCACCAGCAGCTTTCCCTGTGTTAACCTGACACTTGCAGGCATAGGAAGTGGCAACATCAGCAGTGACTCAGAGTTTCAATCCGTACTTTGCTGGTTTACTTGGCATATGTTGGCGAAACTGCCTCTGAAAGGGACAAGCTGCTCATCTGCACACACATCTAACCCAGTGTTGAAAAGAATTTGGAGGCGATGGGTCCACATGTCCCAAATCGAGCGAATAGGGGCCAGCTTGTCCTGCCTGAGACGGGAAGGCCTGTTCAGCTCATCATCAAACCGGAGGGTGGAGTTGATCATCTTGAATTTGGTGTGACTCATGGTGGCCAGGAAGATTGCACGTCCACAGTGGTCATCCCAAAGGCTGCAGGTGGATTCCCCTTTGGACTGGTACACACCAGCCAAAATCAGGAGCCCAATGTATGCTCTCACTGCGATGTCATCAATATCCCACCAGTTCTTCACCACACGTCTTCCATTTAGATTTGTCATGTTGACGATGATTTCAGTCATTTCTGGAGTAAAGAATAAATCAAAGGAGGATACCACATCGTAAATGTGTGTGATGGTGTAATGTGTTGGCCCAGGATTCAAACATCTTGCAGCAGGAACATAGTGGGAAGTTTCTGCGTTAGTAGGAAACCAGACTTGTCCACTTTCAGAAATCCATCCTGGAATCAAAACCTGTGGTTTGCATTAAAGTCAATGGGACGTTTTTGTCCTCTAATGGCTCGAGTGTATAGTACATTTTAAATCTGTTGCTATGTAAAAACTATAAATGCAAAAAATTCTCAAGTTTAGATATTTCATAACATACAGGTGCTGGCCAGTAAATTAGAATATCATCAAAAGGTTGAAAATATTTCAGTAATTCCATTCAAAACGTGAAACTTGTACATTATATTCATGCAATGCACACAGACCAATGTATTTCCAATGTTCATTACATTTAAATTTGATATTCATAAGTGACAACTAATGAAAACTCCAAATTTGGTATCTCAAAAAATTAGAATATTCTGAAAAGGCTGAATATAGAAGACACCTGCTGCCACTCTAATCAGCTGATTTACTCAAAACACCTGCAAAGGCCTTTAAAAGGTCCCTCAGTCTTGTTTTGAAGGCACCACAATCATGGGGAAGACTTCTGACTTAACAGCTGTCCAAAAGACAATCATTGACACCTTGCACAAGGAGGGCAAGACACAAAAGGTGATTGCTAAAGAAGCTGGCTGTTCGCAGAGCTCTGTGTCCAAGCACATTGACAGACAGGCGAAGGGACGGAAAAAATGTGGTAGAAAAAAGTGTACAAGCTCTAGGGATAACCGCACCCTGCAGAGAATTGTGACGACAAACCCATTCAAAAATGTGGGGGAGATCCACAAAGAGTGGACTGCAGCTGGAGTCAGCGCTTCAAGAACCACCACGAGGAGACTCATGAAAGACATGGGATTCAGGTGTCGCATTCCGTGTGTCAAGCCACTCTTGAACAAGAAACAGCGCAAGAAGCGTCTCGCCTGGGCCAAGGACAAAAAGGACTGGACTGATGCTGAGTGGTCCAAAGTTATGTTTTCTGATGAAAGCAAGTTCTGCATTTCCTTTGGAAATCAAGGACCCAGAGTCTGGAGGAAGAGCGGAGAAGCACAGAATCCACGTTGCATGAGGTCCAGTGTAAAGTTTCCACCGTCAGTGCCATGTCATCTGCCGGTGTTGGCCCACTCTGTTTCCTGAGGTCCAGGGTCAATGCAGCCGTCTACCAGGAAGTTTTAGAGCACTTCATGCTTCCTGCTGCTGACCAACTTTATGGGGATGCAGACTTCACCTTTCAACAGGACTTGGCACCTGCACACAGTGCCAAAACCACCAGCACCTGGTTCAAGGACCATGGTATCCCTGTCCTTGATTGGCCAGCAAACTCGCCTGACCTTAACCCCATAGAAAATCTATGGGGTATTGTGAAGCGGAGGATGCAATACGCTAGACCCAACAATGCAGAGGAGCTGAAGACGACTATCAGAGCAACCTGGGCTCTCATAACACCTGAGCAGTGCCACAGACTGATCGAGTCCATGCCACGCCGCATTACTGCAGTTATTGAGGCAAAAGGAGCCCCGACTAAGTATTGAGTGCTATACATGCACATTCTTTTCATGTTCATTCTTTTCAGTTGGCCAACATTAGAGAAACAAACATTTTTTCATTGGCCTTTAGAATATTCTAATTTTCTGAGATACCAGATTTGATGTTTTCATTGGTTGTCACCTATAAATATCAAAATTAAACGTAATAAACATCGGAAATACATTGGTCTGTGTGCATTGCATGAATATAATGTACAAGTTTCACGTTTTGAATGGAATTACTGAAATATTTTCAACCTTTTGATGATATTCTAATTTACTGGCCAGCACCTGTAATCAAGACTGATTTGTACTAAACACCCCAGGCAAAAAAAAAAGTCTTTTCTAGAAAATAACTCAGTTTTAGTGGTTTTTTTTTTTCATGAATCGGGGTGATGTGGGTGTGTTTGGAGGACTTGGTCAGAAGCCGAGCACAGGCGTTCTGAACCACCTGTAGACGGTTCAGGGAGGTTCTGCTCAGACACGTGAAAAGAAAGTTACAGTAGTCTAAGCGTGAGGAGATGAAGGTGTGGAGAACTGTCTCAAGTTCAGAGCGGGACAGAATGGGACTCAGCTGTAAGGGAAAAATGAGGTTCTTACATTTTAATTAATGAGCCGTAAGGCGTGGGATTCCATAGGAAATATGAAATCCGCCTCATGGATCGGGGTTGGTTAAACCAGAAGATCGGGTCTTTTTAATGCAGAGATCATGTAACCGTTATGTATTCACTCAGAGACAACAGAATAGAACGAGTCAAGTTTAAAAGTTAAGAAATTTTATTACTAACAATTAAACTAGGCTTATTTAAGAACTAAGTGTATAGTGCGACTAAAAATGGATGAGGCGGTGAATGGATGACGTGTCATGTAAATCAGAACCCGCAAATCCGAAGAAGCGATTAGCTCTGACGGGAACTGAAGATGTTGGTTTGGAATAAGCTGGGGTTTGTTTCAGAACTGCATGAGACACCATTAAGCCGCGCCTACCTGCCTGGTGGAAGTCCTCTGTGAGATCAGGAATGCCGAGGTCCACCCGGACCCTCTCTGGACACCGAGCTGGTAGCAGAGCTGCGGTTCCGACCAGACCCGTCTCGAGATACTGCCGGCACACGACTCTTGTCTTGGCGTCTGTTCAGACCCAGCCTGGGTCAGTGGAGCTCTTATTCTGAAAGGAGCTGTTGTCGTTGCTTGTTGTTATAGCGACTGGATTTTCTCAGCTTGTCGTGGTTCTTTCGGTTGAAGAGTTAAAGTTCAGGATTGGCCACTCCGTCACTTTGCTCTGGAACGCTTTGAACTGCATTAGAGCTGACGTGGCATCTGTTTTATACCTCGGATGTTTTGGTTTATTGTTGAATGAAAATTACCAAACACCGTCAGAAGCACGCCTCCGTCAGATCTGTAAGGTTCTGATTGGATCAGTGAAAAAATGTGTCAAGTCCTTTTAACACTACGTGAAATGAGTCCTGTTGAACCATTTAAAGTTACATTACTTCATTTCTAAGATCATAATAAAATAATTAATATTTTAATTTCACAGGTCGGTCACATCTTGTTATATTGACTAACACTTTGATGGATTAGCTTTATTAAAATAGAGTTCTTTGATTAATCAAAAGGAAAGAATTCATTCTTCTTTCTTCTGTCTTCATGCTGGAATGTAAACAGTTTAGAAACGACTGTATGACCTTCAGGCTGTTTCAGACACACTGACACTGTGTCAAAAGGAAACAGCTGTTAGGGTAGAAATGGCTCCTTCAGCACGTTACACAGCTTAGCAACGTTCCTGAGATGGAAGAAGGAAGAGCCAACAAGAGAACTGGCATGAGAATCCAGGGTGAGAGCTGGGTCAAAGGTCACGCCAAGATTCCTGACAGAGGGTTTGGTGTGAGAAGCAAGCTGACCAAGAGAGTCTCTGACTTTGGGAACCAGCTTCTCTGGGGCACAGATGAAGATCTCAGTCTTATCTTCATTCAGCTGTAGAAAGCTCCCACCATCCAGGTTTTAATGGAGTCTAAGCAGGAGAGTAACAGCTGCAGCGTAGACATCTCATGGGGCTTAAAGGAGATGTACAGTTGGATGTCATCCGTGTGAAGACGCTAGGAGACTCCTTTAAATGAGCTCAGCAGGTGCTGTAAAGGAAGCAGATAGAGCAGGGCCGTGCAGAGACCTTTGAAGGGGCGGGTGCTCAAAGTTAAAAAAGGGGCACATATACAGGGTTTTCCTGTATTCAAATTTGCGTGGCGGCCGCCTCCAGCTATTTTTGTGCCGCCCCAGCCTGATTTCACTCTGCCCCCAGCTATATGGATGTTACTGTAACTGCAGTTGCAGCGTTGCGCCACTACAGGGCGCTGTACCAGCAGCGGTGCACCGAAAAGCGCTAAAACCGCTGCAGAAAAAGATCAAAATGTGCTTTTCTCGCTAGTTGGTACATACCTATGGTTGGTGCTATTAACGTCCTGATTTTCCCCCAGCTCTTCCATATCGGAGCAGGGCTGTAACTGTCTGTGCGTGTCTGTCTATTTTTAAATGTAGCACGGGTGCAACATCTTTGAATTACTATTTTCCCCAGAACTTTATTGAACAAAAGTAAGTTACGTGTAAGAAAATGCTTTTTACTGGCGCACAGTGTGGTCATCTGGATGCAGTGGAGGAAAATAAAGGAACCAACAAAGGCACAAAGGCAGAACCGGTCCAGACTTTGGGATCAAAAGTGCAGCTACACGCAGATTAGCTAATGCTAAAGCTAACAGGTAGCAGTCTCGCGATCAAGTGGCGCACAGAAAAATATATGATGATGATGATCATAAAACTATGAAAGACTAAATTCTACAAGCGGATGAAAAGTCCCCACCATCCTGTTTATTCTGCATCCTGCAGCACTACGGATCAGAACCGCTGCAGATACGGGTCACAATACAGCTACAAGGCTAAGGCAAGCCATTGTGGTATATAATTCACAAAGGCTTCCATCTTTGAACATAATTTGAACTGGATTATTGCTAACCCGTACATAATAGACATGCCACCATTACATTGTTAGCAGCAGAAATTAAATGTTATTACCATTTCCAACACAAGTGCATGTTAATGAAATGCATTATATTTTACTGCATATATTTATGTGTTATTATGACTAAGATGAGTGTTATTAATACAAACCTAAAATGTTACTGAAATGTAGGTCAAATATATAAAAATATTTTAACTATAAATATCAGATGGGAAAAAGGAACTAAACACCAATCTGATGCATATTATTGAGCCTTTCATAATAAGAGTCTGTTATTTCAGCCTGATAAGTTTGTTGTTTTATTTCATATTTTTTAGCAGCAAACCAGTTTTGTTTCACTTGAAACGTTGTCAAATGGAATATTCTATTAATCGCCAGAAGCTTAGATTAGAACACTTAACGAAAACATATTTGGCCTTTAAAAAAGTGAGGCAGTTGAATGCACAGAGTACGCATGTGCTGGCGCATAGGGATGGGTACCTTTGACATTTGAATCGATCCGGTACTAATTCCCGGTACCTACGAGTCGATACCGGTACTTAACGGTACCAGTTTTCGATACTTTTGAGTGTTTAATATTTTTAATTCTCATTTATAATTTAGTATATATTTTTCTTAATTTATAACCATATTTGAAAAATATCACGATAAATAACATTCAACTGTTTGTATTTTAACATCATCCTTGTAGTTTTATAAGCTGATAATTAAACTGAAGCAAACATCTTTACTGTGAACTAAATTTACTGTGTATCTTCATTCCTTTTGCCGTCTTTTTTCATTTGATTTTTCCTACTGGGAAGTTAGAATTTCCGAGGAGAAAGCGAACGCACCATTAGCTGATAACAACGGTGGCAATGGAAGCTAACATATCAAGCTAACGTTATCTTAAACAGTTTATTTAGCTGCTGGAGCAGATTAAAACGATGAAGCCTCACACTTACATCGTTGTCGCTGGTTTCATCTTCACCCAATCACCCGTCGCATTTAGTAAAGTGAAGCCAAACTTTAGAGCGCGTTCATGTTCTTCTAGTCGGAAATTCGGAAATCCGAGGAGAAAGCAAACTTAAACATTTTATTTACCTACCGGAGCAGATTAAGAAGAGGATGTCTCACTTAGATCGTTGTCTGTCGCTGGTTTCATCACCCAGTTACCCATCACATTTAGTGAAGTGGACCCAAGCTTTAGCGTGCGTTCTTTCTACCATGCTGCTCTGTTTACAACTCGCTCGCAGGGACCGACGACATAACGCTCTTGCGCATGCGCAGCTGTCTTGGCAAGTTCTCGTTAAGAAGGACGGGTACCGAAACGAGGCACCGTTTGAAATGACGTGAATCGGTGCTCGGTAAGTACTATGGAATTCGGTCGGTACCTTAAAAAGTACCGAATTCGGTACTCATCCCTACTGGCGCACGGTCAGGATGGTACCACCTCTGCCTCAGTCTGAGCCAGGAAAAACCCTGATATAGAGCAAAGTTTTTAAACAGATTCATGATCCAACAAGTTAAAAAGTTCAGATAATGAGACCCTTGGTTTCAAACAACATAATGTAAACTAGGAAAATATGTCATTAATTAAGGTAACGTTATTTCATAAACAGTTGTCAGGGTTTCCCTTACATAGGCGTAGCCGTGGCGGCCCGCCATGTCTGAAATCCCACCGCCACGCCTACAAGATCCCAAGTTTTATTTATTTATTTTTTAAGCTGTTTCACGAGGAAGCAGCAGGAACTACTATGTTGTCGCTTGTGATCACAGCCGGCAGGCAGCAAGGAGGAGCAGGCAGGGCAGGGTGAAGTTACAGCATAAAGGTAGCAGTGGATATAATGCTTTTTGGTTTACATGTTTCAACAGCATTAAGATAAATGAGCGTTGACGATCTTGACAGGGTTTCCTCTCCCCACCAGGATAAGCATCACTTATTCATGTAAAATTTATTTATTTTTTCATGTCTGACTTTAACCGCATCTAATACTGTATTACGGCGTGAGCGCAACAGCGACAACTTAAGATCGATGTGTGAGCAGCCTGAGAGGTCGGGTGTTTCATCTGAACCCTTAAAACCTCCAGCAGGCTACGCTGCACTATTGACGTGTTAGCGCGCAGCGCTAACAACTTAGCGACGTGACATGTCTCTGAGAAAGCGTAAAAACACGTTGAACGCTTCTTCTGAAGCGGGAAAATAACACCTCTTCTTAAGCAGAGCACGACGTCGCCTCGACTGAGCTCGATAACATTGACCCAGCACAGCCACTGGGTCGTTGGAGCTGCCCCGTGACTGCCTGATGGAAAACCAGCGGGTTTCATCAGACTCGTAAAGTTTGTTTTTGCTGGGGACCCCCTGTATTTTACCGCTCCCTCCTGCAGTCTTCCCCTATTAACATTTAAAATGATTCTGTAAATTCGTGTATCAATAGAAAAAATCTCTGCCTCTGCCAGCTGCAGTAAATGTAGTCTCCAAATAATAAATAAGAGGTGCATTCATCTGTGGATCTCCTTTGATCCGCATTAGTGATATTCTCAGCACCAGAACAGTGAAGCAAAGAAACAGATTCCTGAGTTTGTTAGTAATTTTATTTATTAGGTGCATCTAACCTGTTCTATTTTTCTCTGAAATGAGATCAAATCAGTGCTTCTATGGGTTGTCTCCTCTCTGCACTAGAAAATTTTACTTTATTTAGAGACGTGTCATAATTTCAGAGTGCTCCTAAAGTTGCAGTTTGACTTGCTCTCATGTTTCCATAAGACCACCACCCACTCGACTAGGACATTAAATTCACTGAGCTGCATGCTGACTTAGCGACTGCTCTCTGGAGTCACATGTGGAGGCTGTAGTAAGCATTTTGTTTTTGTCTTTAGCGCTGCAGACCATTTATTGCAGCACGGATATACTGAACAGTTTCACAACTTTTAAATCAAAAAGATAATCAGTCCATCGCCATTCTCCTTCCCGGCACCTCCGTTCTGCTGACTCCAACCTCCTTTCCCCTTTCAGAACAAAACATGGCACCATGGGGGATCGAGCCTTTGCAGCCGCTGCCCCCACACTTTGGAACTCTCTCCCACTAAACATCAGGAACGCCGTCTCTCTTTCTACTTTTAAGTCACTGCTTAAAACCCACTTCTTTAAATTGGCCTTCTCTTAAGATCAACCCAGCATCCCCCAGTCTGTTTACTATGTTTCATGTTGTTTTATTATGTGTTTATTGCATTTTTTGTGAAGCCTGACTGACCTAAAAAGCCCTAGACAAGTTTAATGTATTATTATTATTATTTTTATTATTATTATCACTTACAACTGCAGAAGGCAAAGTGTGTCCCCACTCCCTGTTCAGCCATTTTCCTGCACCAGATCTGGCGTTTACAGATGTTTCACACCTGTGTGAATAACACAGCTGTCTAAGAGAAAAACCACTTCTCCAACTCATTTACTTATTTACATATCTGAAAGGTGGCAGCCCTACCTGTGTCCATGCTGTCCAGGTCCAGGTGGTGAAGAACACACGATGAATCAGTCCCAGCTGATGGATGATCCTGAAGTGGTAGCAGGTTTTCTTTAGCCGTGTTTAGCTAACAGCTGCAATAGAAACAAAGCAGGAGAGCTGATTAAGATGCTGCTTCAGAACAACGCAGGAGGCGCTCCGCACACGCACAGCGCGTAGGGCACCACGCCAGGGGAGGGGCACCAAATGCAAGCTTGTGAAAAAATAATATGTATATGATAAAGACGGATTTCAATTAGAAGATGTGCAAAGCAAGTTAACAGCATGTTTACAGAGAGAAAACAATACAAACAGGAAAGGAGATGGACCGTGTCCCCCCCCCCCCCGCAGACACCTGCGGAGGATGCAGCGGGCACAGTCATGGCTCCGAAAAGGCTGCAGGAGTCTGGGGCAGTAAAGAGACAAAAGAAAAAACAGCGGGATGATGCTGTTGGTTCGATTGCAGATAAGAAGTTTTTTAATGGAAATTCTTAATTTTTTTTATCTTTTTCTAATTTTAAACACGGGTGTGGTGAAGTTCAGAGGGTCGTTTGACCTAGCTTAAATTCTGACTTTTTACTGCTGTTAATTAATCTGTTTTTGGTCAAATTTACCGAGTTTGGTAAGCATGCTGCTTTTCAGGACTTTTATTTGGTGTTTTTTGCACTCTGCTTCCGTACGTTTAACATTTTGACTCTATCTGCGTGGTTTGGGCAGATTTCGTTCTCTGCTTCTCCAGTCTGTTAAAAGTATAATGCGCCACTCTGTCCCGCAGCCTCCCGTCCGCCTACCGGGCGTTCGTTAGTAGCTGAGTGAGAGAGGCTGAGAGGGAGAGAAACTCAAGAGAAGCTTTAGAGCTTTTTTACTGCTGGAGAAAAAAAACGTAGCAAGTCATCATCTTCCTAAATGCAGTCATTCTCTTCTGAATCAGCACTTCTTTAAAGAAGAAATAGTTAAATGCAACAATGGGAAATCAGTCTGTTCATGTGACTTGCATCAACAAATAAGTCTGAACAGTGTTAAAGGCTGTTTATCTAAAAATACACCTGGAAGAGTTTGAAGATTATTTTGTTTTAATAAGTTCATCTTAAAACATCTTTCTCGAGTAAAATAAAGTTTCCTCTGTGAGGTCAGATAGACCCATCTGTGCTGTTTTGAAACAGAAATAAACAAATGAATCATATTTGTCCACCCAAATACTTAAATATCACAACAACAGGAAGGACAAAAACACCGTCAAGGTAAAGTAAGAAGTGTTATTTTTAAATAAGCGGCTGTTTGTGATTAATCATGAGTTAACTGTGGACATGATTTATATAATTATTAAAAAGCCTATGTGGCCTATAGGCTATGTAACTGAAATTTAATATGAAAAGTTTGACAAAACCTATTTTCAAATGAGGTATTTGCTCTATGTTGATATATATTTCATAAACATTTACGGGCCAAGAGGAACATCAGCTGCTGATGGTATAATTTGAAGAAAAAAGTCCGTTATGCTAACCTCCTCCCTTCATATTCAGAATTTTCTAGTTGTGTATAAAATGTGTATATTGTGCCTCTCTAGTTCTTAATAAAGGTTAAATAATTTTGAGTTTAGTCATGTCACATGCCAGTGATTTATAAGCCAATATTAACCTGTAAATAACCTATTGCAGTATTTTTACCATGGTTTAAATCTTTTATCTTATTATAGAATGAATATGACAAATTATCTTTTTGTGTCTGAATGCAGGCTCAATGAACAAGTACATTCAAGGAGGAGCTCACGCCAAAAGTTCCCCAGACAGCAGCTGACTCCTGTCTGGATCCGGATCCAGACCGGTACATCCGCGTTTCAGTCACATCCGCTTTATGACTCCTGTCTGGATCCGGATCCAGACCGGTACATCCGCGTTTCAGTCACATCCGCTTTATGACTCCTGTCTGGATCCGGATCCAGACCGGGACATCCGCGTTCAGTCACATCCGTTCTATGATTCCGACATGGAGCCTGACTGGATGCTGTCTTCAGGAGGCAGCGCGTTTGCGGATGCAGATCGATGCGGTGGGAGGTGACCCAGTTGCGCGCGCATATTTTGCCGACCGCAATAAAGAGAAGGAATTCAGATCAGGTAACACAAAGCGGATAACAAAGGACGAAGCAACGACGTTGGGTTTACAAATCTTTTTCGGTAAGTTACATGTTTTTGAGGGTAACAAGTTTTCTTTTTCCGATAGACAAAGTGTATTTACACTTTTAAAACGTAACCTCTGTTTAACTGAGCACTCTGAGAGATGCAGATGCTACAGCAACATGCTAACCATAGTTGCAGTACTGTATCGGGAACTTTTGCTTTTGTTTGGGTTTCCAGGCGATTAACGATTGTGTATGCAAAGCTGAAAGCATAAAGGCCTTATAAAGCGCTCAAAAATCAATCTTATTCGAAGTAAACAAAGTGCTAAGATAAACCTTTAGAGCTAGGGGGTGAATGATAATTCCACATCACTAGCTACGTGTTAACGAGTGTACAATTTTCTCCAATATTCCACATAAAGGGCTCTAAAACAAATTAATCATTTTATCAAGGATATTTTAGGTGGCCTTAAGGATAAGATATGGGGTGGGGCGCTGGGAGGTTTCACACACACACACACACACACACACACACACACACACAATTTAAACAGGATCGACGTTGGGGGTTGTGAGTGAAAATGTTAATTTTGGCGCCTGTTTGCCTGCTCTTTGTTCTGAGATGACCAGTTGGAGTAGAATCAAACCACTGTCTCTTACAACATACAAAAACCCATTTCTTCTTTATTTCAGGTTTTGTCAGAAATAACAGCCCTTTACAGTGGACCAAGAACTATCACCAAGGCATTAAGGTAAGTTTTAGATGATGAACCCTAAACCAAAGTGCTAAGATAAACTTTTAGAGCTAGGGGGTGTCTTTGAATGACAAATACATTTTCCACATCACTACGTGTTAAATATGAGTGCAGAAATTTCTCCAATATTCTACATAAAGGGCTCTAAACACATTAATCATTTTATCAAGGATATTTTTGGTGGCCTTAAGGATAAGATATGGGGTGGGGCGCTGGGAAGTTTCACGCACACAGGTAAACTGGATGTAGGGGGTTGTGAGTGAAGATGAGATTTTTTGACAATCTTTAACACTGATTTTATTTATTAATTTAGTCATAGCATTTAACAGGGCACGACTATCATAGAATTGAACAGGGCACAACTAGGCACTTACGATGGTGATAATGAGTTTAAAAGCCTTTATTAATCCATTTAGTCAAATAAAATAAGGTAGTGTCAGCTGAACTGACAAGGCCACAAATGTTATGGTCGTCTCACTGTGTGTAATCAATTTCAGCTGGGTAACATAGCTTCATTGTATAGATCCAAAATTACCTTTCTGTAGGAGGAGGAGTGGAGAAATGAATTTATCTCCTTTTCTGTAGATCCCATATTTTCTCTTAACACACACAGCTGAAATTACACAAGGAAGTGAGCTCACTAGCTAGTTAAATTCTTGTTAGCACTGGACAAATTCAGTTAACACTATAGGAACAATTAATCTATTTTTTTCCCCTGAACCATCTCTTTTAGATGAATAGGAAAACTTTGCCTGTCTGCAGATCCACCCTACGACGAAGGACACGCATAGATGTTGAAAAACGACTTCAGCAGATTAGGGATGACAACGCTGAGTTGGCTGGCTTTCAGTTAACAGAGAGTGACATTGGACATGATAGTGGACAGTTTTTAGAAATAGGTTCAAGTTCACTTCAGTCAGCTTGTGCAGTCTCAGAACCTGTAGTGTATTTTGCTGAAAGTATCATGGAAGTAAATACTGATGTGTCTGAGACGCTTGTGGTTGGTGACTGTGATGATCAGGCCCAGTCATCAGATTCAGAACATTCTGACGAGGATGACTTAGAGACATTTTCCTTGTCTGACAACATTGCCAACTGGGCCATACATTTTGGCATTTCTTTGGTTGCTTTGACGGCACTTTTGGGCATACTTAGAATGTGTCATCCTGAGCTTCCCAAGGATGGTAGGACACTGCTTAGGTCTAAAACCAAATACTCAATTCTGGAAAGGGCAGGTGGACAGTACCACTATTTTGGTATTCTGTCGTCACTCAGAAGAACATTGTCTATGTACATACATAAACTTGCAGACGATTTCACATTAAAATTGCAAATAAATATAGACGGACTCCCTTTGTTTAAAAGCTCTAGTTTGCAACTGTGGCCCATTCTGGGACTACTAAGTGTTCCCATGAAAGAACCTGTAGTTATAGGTTTGTACTGTGGAACATCAAAACCCAGCTCAGCCAAAGAGTTTCTGGAAGAATTTGTTACAGAGTTAAAAGGGCTTGAACAAGGTTTTGATTTTGAGGGTAAGAATTTGAAGCTCAAGCTTGACACCATCATTTGTGACACACCAGCCAGGTCCTTTGTTAAAAACACCAAGAACCACAATGCCTACCACGGTTGTGACAAATGTGCACAACCAGGAAAATACATAAACAGACGCATGACATATCCATGCACAGACTTTGTTTTAAGAACAGACAATTCATTTGAAACCAAGGCCGATGATGATCATCATCATAGCGGTCCACATCCATTTCATGGCAGCAGTGTTGGCATGGTGTCGCAGTTTCCTCTGGATTACATGCATGTAGTTTGCTTAGGTGTTGTTCGGCGAATGCTAAATATCTGGTTGCGGGGTCCCTTGAATGTCAGAGTACCAGCAAATGTAGTGGAAATGATGTCAGCTAAACTGTTAGAAATAGGGCTGCAACAACGAATCGATAAATTCGATGAAAATCGATTACTAAAAGCGTTGGCAACGAATTGCTTCATCGATTCGTTGTGTCGCACAACTCTTCCAAAAGCGCCCCCCCCCCCCTTCCCGCCCGCCGTTGCGCGCAGACCAGAGCAAGTCAGATCAGCGCGAGGGAGAGCCGCAGATCAGCGTGAGGGAGAGCCGCAGATCAGCGCGAGGGAGAGCCGGTACCGGCAGATCAGCGTGAGGGAGAGCCGCAGATCAGCGCGAGGGAGAGCCGGTACCGGCAGATCAGCGTGAGGGAGAGCCGGCAGACTTGCGCTGCTGCGAACCGGTTCCGCATTGTTGCACAGCGATCCAGGCAGCTGCTTCCAGCGCACGGTCCATTCTCAAAGTGGCGCAACCAAAAAACTATAATTAGCACACGATCGTTCATGTCCGCACATGTTCTCTATTTTCTGTCTTATTTGTGCCTGAAGCTCGCTACTGCGGAGCTCATCACCTGTGCTGTGGTGATGTCACCTCACTGACGCAGCATCGAAAACGCGCTCTGCGCTTTTCGGTCAGGAGATCCCTTTGATCTGCTCAAAAGTAACTGATGAGGTGAAAAGGTAAGAATCCAGGCAACAGATTTTCTGGAGAATTAAGAGGAGATGCAGGAAGATGAGAGACAGACAGGACAGGAAAATAGTTCAATAAAAACAAGAAAACAAAACAAAGTGTTGAAAAGTCAAATGTAGGTAGATTTATCTCCACGACACGTTTTTACCAGTAAAAAACAATAAGTTATACACATGTCATAATTATACATCTGATACAATTCAGATCACCTTCAAAACTCAGTCACACACCCAGGGCCGTTTCAAGACATTTTGGGGGCCAAGGCAAAATGCCCCCCCCCCCCCCCCCCAAATAACTGGGCTCCCCAGAAGCCTCTGTGTAATTCATACCCTCTCCAGTAGTGTTAATTATATGGTGTTTATAAAAGCCCCTCAGACATTACTGACATGTTCTAATATTATCAGATGAAAAACTAAATTATCAGACATGCTGTCTCATCTGCTGCTTTTCTAAACTTGCAAAAAGTAACAAAACCATTTGAAAGCCACTATTTGTGGATTCTCTGAAAGTTTATATGGAGTGTGGGACAACTTATGTTTTCATTGATCCTATCGTCTAATCTCACAGCTGAAACAAGCATCCTTAATAATCTGTGCACAGGAAGCTTACCAATGCTGTAGTAATACAAAAGGTATAATAATTTATTATTAATAAAACCTTGTTGCAGCACTAAAGCAGAAAAATTAGATTTTGCATTAAATATGCAAAATATTTACATATGAATTGTTTTAGAGCCCTTTTATTGGCAGAATCTGATATTAATTTAGTTCTTACAAAAAATGGGTCCCAACATGGTTTGTGTGGCGTTGCCATAGTGTGACGTCATAGGCACAGATCCCCTGTCCTCTTGTTTGGAAATGGAAATATGGTCACCCTACATTAAACAAACTGTCCACCCGGGCTTTTGCACTGCACAGAGACGCTTCGCTGCCTACGACTGAACGTCAGTTGAGAGTCAGTCTCATGCAGACTGACCAATGAAGAGAGGGCCTCAAGTTAAGACCCTCTCCTCATTGGTCAGTCCACTCATTGGTCAGTCCACACAAGGTGGGTCAAAGGTTACTCTGGGCGGGTTACGTGTTGTCAGGCATTCAAGTATTGAGTATATTTACTGCATATTACAGTAAAATATTCTGTATGTGACCACATTATGGTGATCCTTGGGTCGTGATGATGGAGCCCTTGAATATTGTTGCCCAGGGTACAACAAAGTGTTAATCTGGCCCTGGTTCCGCCGTCACATTCCAGCAGAAACTGGTTGATCACACCGGGGCCAGACTACTAGCATGTGTTTTTACAACCACAATGTCCTCAGAAGCAAAAACGCTTTTAAAAGGGAGGGAGGAGTCCTAACTGTTGCTGCAGGCGTGTTGTGTGAGAGTGCAGTTATATACTGGTTAATATATTTTTGGGTTCAGTTGCTTTCATGTGGCCTAATGTGAGTCTATTTGGGATCATTGGAATGATCAGCAGCATTTCTTGATGTGACTTTATGGCAGTTGCCCAGGGCATCATCGCAAGGAGGATGGCATTCATTTACTTTTGTTTTATTTGGTATTTTTTCAGTCATTTTTGGAAATAGTGATCAATTTTGATTAATTCACAGCCTATGTTTAATTACATTTAAAATAAATGTCAACAGATGAGATCAAACAAAACAGATGAGAATTGCCCTTAAGCTGTTTAACTTGGACCAAGCATTTTAGGTCACAGATAGATGTAGCTTAGGGTCTCTGTCTATACACCTTATAAGACAATTTAGGTGATGGCATGTTGTTTTTCTGCTATTGAACTGTTTTCTAATAATGTTGTGTTAAATAAAGTGAAGGAAGGAGAGAAATAACGTTTCCCTAGCAGTTTTTAAAAATTTCCCCATGTAATCCGATTAATCGATTAATCGTGTCGAGACCCCATCCGATTAATCGATTATCCAAATAATCGTTTGTTGCAGCCCTAGTTAGAAATGCGTTCCTATGTCCCCGTAGAATTTGCCCGTAAGCCCAGATCACTGAGGGAATTGGATCGTTGGAAGGCCACTGAATTAAGACAGTTTCTGCTGTACACTGGCCCTGTAATGCTAGGTGCTTTTCTGGATTGCAACATGTACAGAAATTTCATGCTGCTTTTCACTGGCGTTGCATTTTTGGTAAGCCCTAAACTATGCTGCCACGCACAGTATGCACAGACTATTCTAAAATCCTTCATTGATCACTTTGCTGACATATATGGAAAAGATCAAATTGTTTATAATGTACATGCATTGGTTCATCTGCCAGAAGAAGTACAGAGACATGGTTGTCTTGATTCTTTTTCAGCATTTCCATATGAAAGTTACTTGCACAGATTAAAAAAACTAGTCAGAAAACCAGAATTTCCCCTTGCCCAAATTGTTCGTCGATTGTCAGAGTTAAAAACCATTGACGCTCCTTTAAGTGGTCCCTCTTTTAAAAAGCAGCATTATGTTGGTCCAATTGTAGGTGGATTGTCAGTCAAAGCTCAGTATGGTGAGATGACCTGTGACAAGTGGACAGTTAAAATTTCATCCAGAGATAATGTTTTTGTCATTGGAAATGACATTTGCTGCATACATAATATTATAGAGTGCAATGATGGAGTATATGTGATTTACAAAGAATTTTCAAACAAGTCTTTGTTCTTCACTTACCCATTCAACTCTGACTATCTAAATATTTATACAATTTCTCACACATCAGACACACTTAAGTGTGCTAAAGTTTCAGAGCTTGCTCAAAAATGTGTTGTTCTTCCACATAAGGATGGGTTTGTGGTCATCCCCCTGTTTCACACATTTTAGTGGTGCAACTACACAAAAATAGATGTGTACTTGCTCCTGAATACAACTGTTTTATTTAAAATTAATTGATCTATCATTTCAACTGTTTATTGTTTGGCTATCAATAGCCATATATAGCAGAACCTTTTCTGAAGGTTATTTAAAAGCCATTGATGCACATTTCCCCTTGTAATATAGTGGTTTTGTTAGAATGATGTTAGCCGTGAGGGTCAGAGACTGACAGTGACATATTTAGAATTGCTCCTACGTTTGAATTGGATAACATCTGACTGTAAGTACGTGTTGTGTGTGTGTGTGTGTGTGTGTGTGTGTGTGTGTGTGTGTGTGTGTGTGTGTGTGTGAGAAGTAGACGATGTAAATAAACAAGCATGTTGAAACAACATCGCAGGACATAGAAGCTGTTAGAAAACATCCACAAATTTTCTATTAAAATATTGGAATACAGAAATTATCTCCTTTAAAATAACCCTATTTAAACATCCATTGATGCCACCCAACATTACCTACTAGTTACAGAAAGTATTTGATCAATTGCATCTTCAGTAAAAGTTTCATATTTGTGAACATAATGTTTTGTGTTTCTCCTTTTTAATTAGGATGTTCCACCTAGTTGAGTTCACGGTCAACAAAACTGTAGCAGTGGTGCCCGAGAACTGGTACAGTGACGGCGTGACCTGTTGGCCGAATTATAAAAGTGATGCAAGGGTGAACCGGGCAGTAAAAAACGCAGAGGAGCCGGGACCTGACTGGGAAACATATGATGTCCGAATTCTTAAATCAAGTGGTAAGCATGTAATTATGACTTCAATCTTTCAATTATCTGAAAAATTTGTTTTGCCAAATTTTAGATCAGTACTTCGAGGCAAGACAACAACTAAATAAGTCGCTGTCATGCCACACTTCCGACCTGCAGACAGAGGAGGAGGAAGAGGACGTGCGACCCAAGAGGAAGCCAAAGGCGATGTAAGCATCTTTCTGTATTTTCCTGTGAATTGTAAATGAAGCATGCATGCAAATGTCGTGTATGGAACATTTATCCAAGTTTCTATGTCCGAGAAGACAATACCTAGTATAAAAAACTGACTTAAAGAACTACTTAATGATTATGGAAATGATAGTACCATGACAACTGAGTGTTATTTCCCTGGCCAATTTATAGTCATTTCTTGGGGGATTCTGATGATAGTGAAGACGAACATCCAAGAAAGAAATCCAGAAGCCAATCCAAAACATCTATACAGCCACCAGCTCCTGCTATCCCACCACCACCATCCCCTGCTGTCAAACCACCACCATGCCAACAACAAACCTTCTCTGCAAGCCAGGTGCACACACCTGCCTGGCGAGGGAGAAGGTTTGACTCGGGCACCCTTCCCTGTTCTGGTGAGTTTTTTTTTTTTTTGGTTTGAATTACTTTTAAAAAAAAATTATGATATAAAATATAAAGTTTATCTGCTACATAATGTTTTCCAATCTGATAAAATTGATGGATGTATATTTTCTATTATTCTTCCCAACAGCCACAGAAGCCCAGATTTTGGACTTGCTGGAGCATCTAAAAAAAACAGATGGAGCAACTGGAAGCCAAGGTTAATTATTTAACCAGCAAGCTGGATGCAACTCCCCAGGAAATGGAGGTGCAGATTCCGGTCCAGTTGCCATTAACTTCAGTGGAGGAAGTGAACACTTTTGAGAACTGGCTCAAAGATGCTGCACATTCCCAGCTGAAGCAGAAGTTGGTGAGTTTTGTTTGTTTGCACTGTATGTAATCTATGCTCTGTGAAAGGGTCGGTTGAGTAAAGTTGATGTCACCTGACGACTGGGGTTATCCACCCTGGGCTTATAGTGTTTTTTTATTTTAATGTATGATTTCATTATTTTTTTGTTTGTTCCATGTTAGATTTCCTCGCTGGCAGCTATTGGGGGCCATGACACAAAACGTATAACGTGGAACATCCTGGCACACATTTTCCATGATGATGTTGGAAAGCAGATTAACTGGAAAGGTGTCAATGGGAAGAAGTCTTTCAACCAGATGGCATCAAAAACACTGCTCCTGCGTAAGTACCCATTTTAAAATGTTCACACATTTTTCTGGGTAAACAATATGTGCTCCACTACGACAGCTCTTGCCACTAGCCAGTTCATACCTTTGCTATTCACACACTGAGGTATTGTTTCCAGCGTTTCACTTCTTATAAACGCTACACAGCATCAATATAAACTTGTAGAGCTACTTCTAAAGCTGGTCTAATAAAAGAAGAAATAGTATTGAGAGCTTTAGTTGACAAATTATTTTCTGCTTACAGAAAGATGATATTAGTGGAGATTGTCCTGTTGCAATAGAAAATTGTGGTGGTGGATGATGATTAACATTTAAATCTGCTTTTGTGATTGCAGATTCTGTGAGAAAAAATTCCATCTCCTGCGCTTCCACTGACCACGACATTTGTAAACATGCTATCCGCTGGTTTAACTTGGCAGCAGATCGAGACAGCTCAAGGCGACGTAGTGGTACACAAGAAGTTCAACCCGCTGACCAGCATTCATCTTTTTAACAAAAATTAGTCTGGTAACACAATTTCTTAATACTGTTTGTGTTACTATTGTTATACTTTGCTTGCACATGTAACAGTTTTTTTTATACAGTTGATATTACTACAAATAAAAATTTATCAAAATACTTTTATGGTTTGGGTGTGTATTTCCTTTAACATAAAGGATAAGTGTGGTGTGACAGATAATTTTAAATCATTTACTCCAAAGCTCTTATTTTCTGTAAAGACCTCTCAGCTACTGCATGTTTTCATTTACTAATTAAACATTAAGAAATTCCAATTATAAAAAAAAAAAAACAGGCTGGATTATTTTCTTTATGAAAGTGCACACAAAGGCGAATCTGGTGATGCCCGGATCCAAAACGGATCCTGACTGGATGAAGAGTTTGATGCACGGGTCCAAAACGGACCCGGATCGGATGATGTGCCAAAGGAGTTGATCCGGACAGACTCCTCACCGGATGTGATCCGGATCCGGGATCATGATCCGTTCCGGATCTTTTCCGGAGAGCAAGTGGACTCCGATACGGGTCCGTTTTGCTGATCCGTTCCAAAGCTTACGGTACCTCCAGGACGGATCCAGTCTGGAGTCCGTTTGCTATCTGGGTCAGATCAGCCCTCCACCAGCAGTTCAAGAGCTCAAGATCAGTTGTCAGCCATCACGTCTGAACCTTCTACAACATCACCCAGCCCTGACCAGGAATAACAAAGTAAAGCACACCTACAGACCGAGCACAGCCCACAGCCAGCACTTCTGAAGGCAGAGTGAGTCCTGGGTCTGAAAAAGCATCTGAAAATTACATTGGAGAAACACATGTGCCACAACCGGTGCTTGTGGTGTGTGGACCTGTTACATAGTTCTAAATAATAACAATATGGAGTTCCTGTGTTGTGTATGTTATATTTTGTAAATATCAGTCCTACTTTTTGGAAATAATAAGCAGTTTGTGCATACAAGTAAATTAAAGAGAATTTAAGGCGGAGCTTGAACATACTGCACCACGATGCCTTTGTGCTTAAGGCACCAAAATAGCTAGCAACGGCCCTGCATGTAAATATGCATCCCTGAAAAACATCTGCTTAACGAATGCTCTGAAACATCAGCTGGCATTTCTTTTTAGCCTGTTTTGTCTATTTATTACTTGCTACTTGGTTCATTTTCATGCTGAATGCTGTTGAGTAAACTTCTGTCTGTAGCAAGGAGCTGCTGTTGTGTGTGTGTGTGTGTGTGTGTGTGTGTGTGTGTGTGTGTGTGTGTGTGTGTGTGTGTGTGTGTGTGTGTGCGCGCGCGCGCGCGCGCGTTCTATGGATCTCTTTATTAAAACTATTTAACGGTAATAAAATAGTTTGTTGATTTTAAACAGGGAAAACCCCACTCGCGATTTAGCGATAGCATGATGCTAACTCCATTAGGCCGCTAGCGTGCTTTCCCTCACAAAGAAACGGTGTCCACTCACCAAGTGAACTGCTCCACTCACTAAAGACGGTAAATGTTCCAGATCCAACTACGTTACTGACTGTACTACCGACTACTGACTACCAAAACTCACCAAGTCCACCGAGTTATCTCAGAACAGCACAGCTTCTAGGTCGTGTCTCGATGGCTTCCAAAGTTGAACCTTTCAGAACAACTCGTGGTTCAACAGGAAGATAAGAGTTGAAATGGGAGAATCCCACTTCCTCTTTTCAAAATAAAATACGTTTCAAAATAAAACAATGCGAGGAGATGGAGGGCTAGGCAGATTTCGCCCAATATAAGCGTTTTATCCAGATCCAGCAGCTGAAAGGATGATCAAGTATTTGATTGCTCACAAGAAAATACCTTCCGATCTTCCAAAACACTGATCACCAGCAGCAGAGACGCCAAGACTCTCATGGATTCCTCACACATCTCATTCCATCTGAGACTACATGCACACAATGTGGACAGAACACTCTTGTTGGTCCTCAGCTGATAACTGCAACTGCTAAAATAGTGACTCATAATGGTGTAGTTAAAGGTTTGCAATTCATTCCAGCTCTAGGATATAATTGTAACATGGTTTTTTTTTAATCCTTTTAGGTACATCGACAAACAGGAAAGTTTGCCCCAACTGTGACATGGTGTAGCGATCAAGACTGGCAAGATCGCGTCCACAACTGTGATGCTCATTTGCTACTGTCAATACATTTTTGCCTTGTGTTGAGGAATGCACTGCAGGTTAGTTCATGCTTTTACTTATTAGTTGTGTAAAAAGTAAACTTCATATCTACTAAATTTAAATTAAACGTTGACACATTTGTCCAAAAATAACTAAAATATTCTAATTGTGTTCTCATATTTCTGCAAACTCAAGTGAACTCAAATGTGTTTTTTTGTAATGTTGAAAAGAACTGCTGCTGTTTTGATTTTTTTTAAACAATATCCTGTTGTTCCTCTGTTTGAGAATAAAGTTTCTTGAAAAATTGGTTGCAGTTTATATAAAAATGACTCAAATGAACTTTATAAAAAATCAAATTACAGGTAAAACTCAAAACATGAGAATATTGTGAAAAAGTTGATTTATTTCAGTAATAAGACTCATTCCATACAAAGCCAGATATTTCAGCCTTTATTTGTTATAATTGTAATAATTATGGCTTACAGATGATGAAAACCCTGCATTCAAAAATTCAGACAATTAGAATATTACATTTAAAACATCCAACACTGCTTTTAAATAGAAAATTGTCAGACATAAGTACTTTGCAATTGGTTTTGCTTTTACTAAAATAAATTAATGTGCAACATTCTAATTTTTGGAGTTTCACATGTTTTTAGAAATTATATTGATATGAAACTAAAATCCATAAAAGTCGTTCTCAGCAGCTGTTCAACAGAGCCATCCTTTTGGAAGTTATTCTTTTTGCTAAAATGGAAAGTTTTCTCCACACATTTACCCAATTTTTTCATTAGGTTACATGATAACATATAAAAAAACTGAAATCAGGACAACTCATTTCATTTGGAGACACAGGTGACACTTAGGAGAGCTGATGTTACATCTTTGGAGGAATTAGGTTTAAATATCAGTTTTAAATACTATGAATAGTCTCATCAAACTCAAATGGTTACAGTTTCCTACAAATAGTATAAAACTAGGCCATTTGTAAAAATCATCCTCATGAGATTTCGAATGACATTGGCGATTAAAAAATACCACACTAATTAAAAAAATTAAAGTGATGTGAAAAGTGTGAAGAATCAGTCATTCTTTGATGAAGATTATTGAAAATTATAGTTTTAAATGATTGTTGACTGTGTCATGTTTAGTACAACGACGTTCAAAAAATATTGTAATAAACAGTAAATATTTATGAATCAGAAATATAGAAATTACGACAGTTTACCTAGAATTATATATTGTTTAATGAACAGTTTGAATAAAGATTTTTCCAAAACGGTAGCTCGACATTAGCGCCTCCTTCAGTTCCGGAAAGCAATGGCACCGTTTCCATATATGGTATTGTTGTGCCCACTCCCCGCCCGGTGCTACAACTAAGCTAAGCTGTAGCCAACTGTAGTTGCCAAGACACGACCTCAGTGTTGCCAGATGTACGATAATTATCGTATTTGTACCATAATTTTGGGCTCTGTACGATGTACGATCAATAGTTTCAAAAATCCTCAAATGTACGATAATTTCATTGCATCTAGTAACACCATCTTTTGCTGTGGCTTTCCCAAGTCAGTTACATAATTTTAAACTGTTCTGAAGTTAGATTTCACCTCAGTGCTTACAGGTTTATAAATGTCTCCTACAAACTAATGAAAAAGAGAAGTTTGAAAATGATGTGAAAAATGCTGAAATCAAGCTATGTGGCTTTTTAGCCCAGCACAACATTGCAATGAGAAGCACAGACCACTTAGTACAGGTGATTAAAGGCATTCTGCAGTGACAGACAGTGAATCAGATGAGGAGATCGAGATCAGCAACTAGGTGAGTAGGCTGCTTTGTCATTTATTGGGTCAGTTTTTCCACTGCTGTGATGTTTTGTCGCGTGTGTTTAACCTATGTAGAAATGACATAAATAGGACTGCGCAAATGTGCATACTGTGTCAATGAGTGGAGGTCAGAGTGGTGCCGACACACTCTGCACGTTTATAAGCATTATATTACTGGTTTTAAACAGGACAATATAAAACACCTTCTTTGTTATATTATATTGGAGTGAGAAGTCGTTTATAGAACGTTATTATCAAATTTATAATGTACGATAATTTGTACTGAAAAACGATAATTTAAGCCTCTCTGTACGATATTGTGGAATTTTGGATCTGGCAACACTGCACGACCTAGAAGCTGTGCTGTTCTGAGATAACTCGGTGGACTTGGTGAGTTTTGGTAGTCAGTAGTCGGTAGTACAGTCAGTAACGTAGTTGGATCTGGAACATTTACCGTCTTTAGTGAGTGGAGCAGTTCACTTGGTGAGTGGACACCGTTTCCTTGTGAGGGAAAGCACGCTAGCGGCCTAATGGAGTTAGCATTATGCTATCGCTAAATCGCGAGTGGGGTTTTCCCTGTTTAAAATCAACAAAACGTTATTACCGTTAAATAGTTTTAATAAAGAGATCCATAGAACAGGTGCGCGCGCGCGCACACACACACACACACACACTTAGCAGCTCCTTGCTACAGACAGAAGTTTACTCAACAGCATTCAGCATGAAAATGAAGCAAGTAGCAAGTATTAAATAGACAAAACAGGCTAAAAAGAAATGCCAGCTGATGTTTCAGAGCATTCGTTAAGCAGATGTTTTTCAGGGATGCATATTTACATGTAAATAAAAATAAATACAACTTTAGAAAGACACATTCTACTGAGTAAACGTATAATATAATGACTTAGTAATCAATAATAATACTGAAAACACAATAGCATTCTGCTAAAACACACCTAAAGTTCATTTAGCTGGGATTCCTGTGTTTTCATGTACATTACACGTCCATGGAGCTGCCTCTTGGCCAGGACTCCCTTGAAAGTAAGGTTTGTGATCTCAATGGGACCTTCCTGGTTAAATAAAGAATAAATAAATAAATAAACTCACTACTTCTTCATGTAAACTCTAAACAAAACCCTTTAGTGCTCTTGGCTCAGCTGGAGACGAGGAACCCTCAGGTTGTGTTGTTCTTTACCTTTTCAGCTTCCAGCCCTCTGCTGATATCACACCTTGCTTTCCTTGTTGGCTCCATGAGATGCTGCCATGCTGGATTTGACTTTTAGTGAGCCACCAGACAGAACTAAACAGGAGAAACCGTTGTTAGTATTTTTGTAGAGCATCCATCTTCTATTTAGTCTGTAGCTGGAAGAACAGAAGAGAACTCTGGTGAGCAAAGGTCCTCTTTTCCAGACTGGATCTGTCCTCAGCTGATCAGAACCAAAGCGTTGGATCTTTAATCTCCTGCGTTGTTCTGAAGCAGCATCTTAATCAGCTCTCCTGCTTTGTTTCTATTGCAGCTGTTAGCTAAACACGGCTAAAGAAAACCTGCTACCACTTCAGGATCATCCATCAGCTGGGACTGATTCATCGTGTGTTCTTCACCACCTGGACCTGGACAGCATGGACACAGGTAGGGCTGCCACCTTTCAGATATGTAAATAAGTAAATGAGTTGGAGAAGTGGTTTTTCTCTTAGACAGCTGTGTTATTCACACAGGTGTGAAACATCTGTAAACGCCAGATCTGGTGCAGGAAAAAGGCTGAACAGGGAGTGGGGACACACTTTGCCTTCTGCGGTTGTAAGTGATAATAATAATAATAATAATAATAATAATAATAATAATACATTAAACTTGTCTAGGGCTTTTTAGGTCAGTCAGGCTTCACAAAAAATGCAATAAACACATAATAAAACAACATGAAACATAGTAAACAGACTGGGGGATGCTGGGTTGATCTTAAGAGAAGGCCAATTTAAAGAAGTGGGTTTTAAGCAGTGACTTAAAAGTAGAAAGAGAGACGGCGTTCCTGATGTTTAGTGGGAGAGAGTTCCAAAGTGTGGGACAGCGGCTGCAAAGGCTCGATCCCCCATGGTGCCATGTTTTGTTCTGAAAGGGGAAAGTAGGTTGGAGTCAGCAGAACGGAGGTGCCGGGAAGGAGAATGGCGATGGACTGATTATCTTTTTGATTTAAAAGTTGTGAAACTATTCAGTATATCCGTGCTGCAATAAATGGTCTGCAGCGCTAAAGACAAAAACAAAATGCTTACTACAGCCTCCACATGTGACTCCAGAGAGCAGTCGCTAAGTCAGCATGCAGCTCAGTGAATTTAATGTCCTAGTCGAGTGGGTGGTGGTCTTATGGAAACATGAGAGCAAGTCAAACTGCAGCTTTAAGAGCACTCTGAAATTATGACACGTCTCTAAATAAAGTAAAATGTTCTAGTGCAGAGTGGAGTCAACCCATAGAAGCACTGATTTGATCTCATTTCAGAGAAAACTAGAACAGGTTAGATGCACCTAATAAATAAAATTATAACAAACTCAGGAATCTGTTTCTTTGCTTCACTGTTCTGGTGCTGAGAATATCACTAATGCGGGTCAAAGGAGATCCACAGATGAATGCACCTCTTATTTATTATTTGGAGACTACATTTACTGCAGCTGGCAGAGGCAGAGATTTTTTCTATTGATACACGTATTTACAGAATCATTTTAAATGTTAATAGGGGAAGACTGCAGGAGGGAGCGGTAAAATACAGGGGGTCCCCAGCAAAACAAGAAACTTTACGAGTCTGATGAAACCCGCTGGTTTTCCGTCAGGCAGTCACGGGGCAGCTCCAACGACCCAGTGGCTGTGCTGGGTCAACGTTATCGAGCTCAGTCGAGGCGACGTCGTGCTCTGCTTAAGAAGAGGTGTTATTTTCCCGCTTCAGAAGAAGCGTTCAACGTGTTTTTACGCTTTCTCCGAGACATGTCACGTCGCTAAGTTGTTAGCGCCACGCGCTAACACGTCAATAGTGCAGCGTAGCCTGCTGGAGGTTTTAAGGGTTCAGATGAAACACCCGACCTCTCAGGCTGCTCACACATCGATCTTAAGTTGTCGCTGTTGCGCTCACATCGTAATACAGTATTAGATGCGGTTAAAGTCAGACATGAAAAAATAAAATAAATACATTTTACATGAATAAGTGATGCTTATCCTGGTGGGGGGAGGAAACCCTGTCAAGATCGTCAACACTCATTTATCTTAATGCTATTGAAACATGTAAACCAAAAAGCATTATATCCACTGCTACCTTTATGCTGTAACTTCACCCTGCCCTGCCTGCTCCTCCTTGCTGCCTGCCGGCTGTGATCACAAGCGACAACATAGTAGTTCCCGCTGCTTCCTCGGGAAACAGCTAAAAAAAATAAATAAAACTTGGGATCTTGTAGGCGTGGCGGTGGGATTTCAGCCGTGGCGGGCCACCACTGCTACGCCTATGTAAGGGAAACCCTGACAACTGTTTATGAAATAACGTTACCTTAATTAATGACATATTTTCCTAGTTTACATTATGTTGTTTGAAACCAAGGGTCTCATTATCTGAACTTTTTAACTTGTTGGATCATGAATCTGTTTAAAAACTTTGCTCTATATCAGGGTTTTTCCTGGCTCAGACTGAGGCAGAGGTGGTACCATCCTGACCGTGCGCCAGCACATGCGTACTCTGTGCATTCAACTGCCTCACTTTTTTAAAGGCTAAATATGTTTTCGTTAAGTGTTCTAATCTAAGCTTCTGGCGATTAATAGAATATTCCATTTGACAACGTTTCAAGTGAAACAAAACTGGTTTGCTGCTAAAAAATATGAAATAAAACAACAAAATGATCAGGCTGAAATAACAGACTCTTATTATGAAAGGCTCAATAATATGCATCAGATTGGTGTTTAGTTCCTTTTTCCCATCTGATATTTATAGTTAAAATATTTTTATATATTTGACCTACATTTCAGTAACATTTTAGGTTTGTATTAATAACACTCATCTTAGTCATAATAACACATAAATATATGCAGTAAAATATAATGCATTTCATTAACATGCACTTGTGTTGGAAATGGTAATAACATTTCATTTCTGCTGCTAACAATGTAATGGTGGCATGTCTATTATGTACGGGTTAGCAATAATCCAGTTCAAATTATGTTCAAAGATAGAAGCGTTTGTGAATTATATACCACAACGGCTTGCCGTAGCCTTGTAGCTGTAATGTGACCCGTATCTGCAGCGGTTCTGATCCGTAGTGCTGCAGGATGCAGAATAAACAGGATGGTGGGGACTTTTCATCCGCTTGTAGAGTTTAGTCTTGCATAGTTTTACCATCATCATCATCATCATATTTTTTTCTGTGCGCCACTTGATCGCGAGACTGCTACCTGTTAGCTTTAGCATTAGCTAATCTGCGTGTAGCTGCACTTTTGATCCCAAACTTTGGACCGGTTCTGCCTTTGTGCCTTTGTTGGTTCCTTTATTTTCCTCCACTGCATCCAGATGACCACACTGTGCGCCAGTAAAAAGCATTTTCTTACACGTAACTTACTTTTGTTCAACAAAGTTCTGGGGAAAATAGTAATTCAAAGATGTTTCACCCGTGCTACGTTTAAAAATAGACAGACACGCACAGACCGTTACAGCCCTGCTCCGATATGGAAGAGCTGGGGGAAATCAGGACGTTAATAGCACCAACCATAGGTATGTACCAACTAGCGAGAAAAGCACATTTTGATCTTTTTCTGCAGCGGTTTTAGCGCTTTTCGGTGCACTGCTGCTGGTACAGCACCCTGTAGTGGCGCAACGCTGCAACTGCAGTTACAGTAACATCCATATAGCTGGGGGCAGAGTGAAATCAGGCTGGGGCGGCACAAAAATAGCTGGAGGCGGCCGCCACGCAAATTTGAATACAGGAAAACCCTGTATATGTGCCCCTTTTTTAACTTTGAGCACCCGCCCCTTCAAAGGTCTCTGCACGGCCCTGCTCTATCTGCTTCCTTTACATCACCTGCTGAGCTCATTTAAAGGAGTCTCCTAGCGTCTTCACACGGATGACATCCAACTGTACATCTCCTTTAAGCCCCATGAGATGTCTACGCTGCAGCTGTTACTCTCCTGCTTAGACTCCATTAAAACCTGGATGGTGGGAGCTTTCTACAGCTGAATGAAGATAAGACTGAGATCTTCATCTGTGCCCCAGAGAAGCTGGTTCCCAAAGTCAGAGACTCTCTTGGTCAGCTTGCTTCTCACACCAAACCCTCTGTCAGGAATCTTGGTGTGACCTTTGACCCAGCTTTCACCCTGGATTCTCATGCCAGTTCTCTTGTTGGCTCTTCCTTCTTCCATCTCAGGAACGTTGCTAAGCTGTGTAACGTGATGAAGGAGCCATTTCTACCCTAACAGCTGTTTCCTTTTGACACAGTGTCAGTGTGTCTGAAACAGCCTGAAGGTCATACAGTCGTTTCTAAACTGTTTACATTCCAGCATGAAGACAGAAGAAAGAAGAATGAATTCTTTCCTTTTGATTAATCAAAGAACTCTATTTTAATAAAGCTAATCCATCAAAGTGTTAGTCAATATAACAAGATGTGACCGGCCTGTGAAATTAAAATATTAATTATTTTATTATGATCTTAGAAATGAAGTAATGTAACTTTAAATGGTTCAACAGGACTCATTTCACGTAGTGTTAAAAGGACTTGACACATTTTTTCACTGATCCAATCAGAATCTTACAGATCTGACGGAGGCGTGCTTCTGACGGTGTTTGGTAATTTTCATTCAACAATAAACCAAAACATCCGAGGTATAAAACAGATGCCACGTCAGCTCTAATGCAGTTCAAAGCGTTCCAGAGCAAAGTGACGGAGTGGCCAATCCTGAACTTTAACTCTTCAACCGAAAGAACCACGACAAGCTGAGAAAATCCAGTCGCTATAACAACAAGCAACGACAACAGCTCCTTTCAGAATAAGAGCTCCACTGACCCAGGCTGGGTCTGAACAGACGCCAAGACAAGAGTCGTGTGCCGGCAGTATCTCGAGACGGGTCTGGTCGGAACCGCAGCTCTGCTACCAGCTCGGTGTCCAGAGAGGGTCCGGGTGGACCTCGGCATTCCTGATCTCACAGAGGACTTCCACCAGGCAGGTAGGCGTGGCTTAATGGTGTCTCATGCAGTTCTGAAACGAACCCCAGCTTATTCCAAACCAACATCTTTAGTTCCCGTCAGAACTAATCGCTTCTTCGGATTTGCGGGTTCTGATTTACATGACACGTCATCCATTCACCCCCTCATCCATTTTTAGTGGCACTATACACTTAGTTCTTAAATAAGCCTAGTTTAATTGTTAGTAATAAAATTTCTTAACTTTTAAACTTGACTCGTTCTATTCTGTTGTCTCTGAGTGAATACATAACGGTTACATGATCTCTGCATTAAAAAGACCCGATCTTCTGGTTTAACCAACCCCGATCCATGAGGCGGATTTCATATTTCCTATGGAATCCCACGCCTTACGGCTCATTAATTAAAATGTAAGAACCTCATTTTTCCCTTACAGCTGAGTCCCATTCTGTCCCGCTCTGAACTTGAGACAGTTCTCCACACCTTCATCTCCTCACGCTTAGACTACTGTAACTCTCTTTTCACGTGTCTGAGCAGAACCTCCCTGAACCGTCTACAGGTGGTTCAGAACGCCTGTGCTCGGCTTCTGACCAAGTCCTCCAAACACACCCACATCACCCCGATTCATGAAAAAAACA